GAAGGGGGAGGGGGGACGGTATCCCGTTTCAGAAAGCGCACCGTTTCTGCCTGCGCGAACGGTGAACGGAGATAATAGTTTTTCCGACGGATTGATATTCAATGGAGAATTCGTAGAGAGCGAAAAAAGAAAGAGAGGAATAAACAGAGGAGGGTTGATTCGTCGCTGTGTATAACGGAGGGAGACAAGTGTGTTGAAATTTATTATATATTATTAATTTATTATTAATTGAAAATAGTCGAAATATGCTTTTTCGAGGGGGAATATATATTCACTTTTCATCCTCCTCTCGAATATCGATTTTTTCACTTGCGATCGAAATAAATTTCATTGGTCGAAATTTTTGGAAAATTGAAAATTAAAAAAGAAATTAAATCGGTGTGATAATTTTATTCCTTCCCCTTTTGTGTCTTATATTTCGCTCAGAAATAAATTCCAATTATTTGGAATACTGTCCAATAATCCATCCTTTTTTCCCTTGAAACAATCTCACGAAAATTCGAATAATTCGAATTCAAATTCGAAACGATCCCTGCAACAATATAATAATAAATCGAAAGGGAAAAAATACAGGAGTATTTTTGTAAGCTCGAGCTAACACAACCGTTCCTACAAATATCGTTCTTGCCGTGACGAAACTGAAAGGAAAATCGGGGTAGAAATCGATAGAAGTCGCGATAGGACGGGTTTTAAATCGATTTTTTACGATGGACAAACGAGAGAGGCGAGGGGGGGAACCGGTCGAAAACGTATAAGATCCATCTCGCGCGCCTTTTGACCGGTTGACGCGAAGGAAAGAGTCGCGATTTCTCGCCGTCCCTTTTTCTCGGCGATGGAAAGAGGGCGGGGGGAGTCGGTGACCCCTTGGAAACCGTGGAAATCTAATAGACCGCAAGCGAGGATGAGATATTGGGTGGAAGATCGGGTTCGACCCCGATGGCCCCGCACCAACGCGCCGCTACTCACACATCCACAGTTCAACTTCATATCCGTGACGGAGTTTTTCCTCCTCCTCTTTCTCTCTTTCGAGGAGTGGTCGTTGCCGATTTCACTTCGCTCGTATCCATCATGACGATTAAATTAGTAAAGCTCGGGACCACCGAGATTCTCTCTCTCTCTCTCTCTTCCTTTCTTTTCGATCGATAAATCGTATACTCGTGATAACGCCGTTTGAATGTTTCCTCCCTCTGGAGGAACGTTCGAGAAGCGAAATAAAGAAGAAGAGGAGAAAAAAAAAGAAAGAAAGGAAGAGAGAGAGAGAAAAGAAAAAGGAGAGGAAGAAATCTTCGTTCGATCCCTTTTCGTTCTGGAAGGAAACCCCGCATTATTGGAAAGCTCGTAGTTTTGTACGAGCTTCCCCCTTTTGGCCTCGATGGAGCGAAAGGATGCCTAAAGGTGACTAATGACGTTAAGGCTCCTTCCTAACCTTCGACCTTAATTTGTGCGTGCCCCGTAATTTCGTCACTCCGTCACCGTGTTTCTCTTTCTATCCCCCTCGTCTCCGTTTATATACGATTTTCGTTCATATACATTTCGATTAAATCTCGAACAAAAATTCGTATCGTTCGTTAAAGATTAAAAGGTTACTTTGGGAGAGGAGATTTTTATTTTTAAGAGCGATTTGTCTCGTTTATAAATCTCCTGTTAAACCGTATCCTTATTTATAGAGCAACGTAAACAACTTTTAACTTTTAACTTTTAAACATGCACGAAAGAGGCGTTATTTTCTTTTTCCTCTTTTTTCTCTCCTTTCTATACATCACATTCAAATTTCTATTCGCACCGGCGAACGATCATTGATTCGTTCTACTAGCAATCCCCCGTCCACTTTCCCATCGTTTTACTCGTAAAATCGGCTGTTACGCGACAAATGCACAGTTCACAATTAATTGCTCTGCCGCATCGATCATTTATACGTATTGTGGCCGGAACGAGTGACACGCATCGTTTCTTCTACCGTCACGAACACGCGCTCCCGAAATCGGCACATTTTCCGCAAACTCATCCGTGATAATTCACCGCGTGACCATCTCTCTCTCTCTCTCTCTCTCTCTACCGGCAAGTGACGAAGACAAACGATCCTTTCAATTTACCGAAACACGAAAAAACGCGCGCGATCTTAACCACGCTCGACATCTCGCGCCGCGTTTTTTACGTTTTTTTTGTGCGTGGTCATTGTCTAAAAAAAAAAAAGAAAAAAATAAAAATTCGTCACGAGAAACGATCAACCAACTGAGCCAAGAAGTTTCATTTTGGCACGAGGAGATACTTCTCTTTCGTCCACAGCTTTTCCATTATTCCGACTGAGCCCTTTTTGAATATTTTTTTCACCATTTCTGCACGACGTGACGTGAGTGTATGTATAAATAAATAGAGTCGACAATCAAAGGGATCGTTTCTCGAGATCCTTTGCAAAGACACCGAAGGAAATGAAGCTTTGAAGAAGAAGCATCTCGAAAGTTAATTTCGAGTTCGAATATTCGTCGATTATTAATCTTTATTTGGAGACTAGGAGGAGACTATGAGCATATCGGGGGGCTGATAAAATCGCCCGTGGAACCGTCCACGATGGTGTAGCCATTAGTCCACGCCAACTTTGGAAGGTGCTTAATCCAGGTATTAGACTTAGCGTCAAGACGTGACGCCAAGTTTCTCCTATTCTACGCAGCAGCGTAATGCCACGCTGCGTTCCACAAAGTTTGGACGCAAATACCGGAGCAGCAATTTATTTGAGGCGAAGGATGATTCCAGTTTTAGGAAAAAACCAGGAACCGGATGTTCGAAAGAATCGACTCGCCAAACTTTTGTATCCTCGTTAAAAATGATTAACAATTGCGCGCCCTCTCCAACGTATTATTACAAATTCGTCTGATTAATCATTCAATGATGGTATTTTTTTTCGAAAAATAATTAGTTCCATTAATAATGTTCCACGAGAGAGAAAAGTTTCTTTTTGAAAATCTGCTTACAAAAGATCCTTTCGTTTTTCCTTATTATAAATAATAAAGTTTTATTACGATAAAGTTAATCGAGAGTTAAATGACATCCAACGATTAATGGAGAGGTTTTCTTTCCGATCTCTCCTCTTTCCAATCCGATCGAATGGCTTTTTGTTACGAGAATAAAAGTTACGAATATATATAAAATTGTAAATATATTCGCGAATTCGGGTGGAATTCAGGTGGCGTTAAACCGATTGGCGGAAAGTTGGCGGAAGGAGGGTAGACCGGGCGGAAATAGAAATTAATGAAAGCCGGATCAGGAAACGGATAGGGAGGATATTACGTGTTGAGGATATGGACTTGCCAATTACAATCGTATCCGAGCAGCTATCACCCCCACGGGATGCGCAATCGCTGTCTGTTTCTATCTGACCGGAATATCTACCTACCTTCGCGTGTATCTACGAAACACTATTTCCCAATCATCTGTAAATCCAATTCGACCTCTCCTTTTTCCAACTTTCCCCTCTCTCCCGCTTATAGATAAGAAACGTTC